GAAGGTGGGCGAGAGGGAGCCCTGGGCCGGGGGGGCTGGGGCTTCTCGGGGAAAGCGAGGGCGGGGGGAAGCGTGTGGGGGCGTCCCCATCACGGTGTGGGGGCTGCCGGGTGTGGATCACAAGCAAACAGGAGCTCCCCCGCGGGGATGACTTGGGCAATAGACTCCTACACGTGTAGCTTTAAAACACCACCTTTAACAAATGTCAGAAGCACTGAGTGATGGTGACTGTGCTGGTGGGAGTGAAGCGGGTTTCGTCGAATGGTCTGGGTTGGAAGGGACCTTAAAGCTCATCCAGTCCAACCCCTGCCATGGGCAGGGACACCTCCACCAGCCCAGGCTGCTCAAAGCCCCGTCAACCTGGCCTTGAACACTGCCAGGGAGGGGGCATCCACAGCTTCCCTGGGCAACCTGTGCCAGTGTCTCACCACCCTCACAGGACAGAATTTCCTCCCAATATCTAATGCAAATCTCCCCTTACTGAATTTGAAACCATTACCCATTCATGCTATCACTGCACTCCCTGACACTCCCTGATAAAAGAGTCCCTCCTCAGCTTTCCTGTAGGACCCATTCAGGTCCTGGAAGGCTGCAGTAAGGTCTCCGCAGAGCCTTCTCTTCTCCAGACTGAATAGCCCCAACTCTCTCAGCCTGTCCTCACAGGAGAGGTGCTGCAGCCCCTGCTCATCTCTCCATTTACCACACCCATGGCGTGACTTGGCAGGTGCTCAGGGCTGAAGCAAAGCTGCCTGGCACACCCTGTGTTAAAGGTTTTACTGCTGCTTGTTCTCCCCAGGCCCTGGCTAACATCGACATCGGGAGCCTGATCTGTAATGTAGGAGCAGGTGGTGGTGGTGCTCCAGCTGCAGCTGCTCCTGCTGGTGGTGCTGCGCCTGCCGGTGGTGCTGCCCCTGGTAAGTGGCTTCTGTGTGCACCATGGTGATCTTCAGCCAGAAAACACTGAGTTAAAAAGCTGCTTGTGCTTGCAATTTAAATGTGGTCTCTGCTTTGTAGTGTGCATGTGGGTGTTGTAGAGCAAAACACCTTTGGAAAGACTGGGACTGCAGTTTGAGTCAGGGTGCAGGATTAGTGTTACCTCAAAATTAAGGCTGATCTCTATCATCAGGGTCTCACCCTGGTGGCTAAAGAGAGAGCACCTGCATTGTGAAGTTTTGTGGATTTGATAGGATTTAGTTTTAAAGGCCCTTTCCTAGTAATGGAAACGCTCATCTCCTCGGGCTGTTGGGGTTGCTCAAGTCTTGCTTCTGGGTGTTTGTCACCATATGAGACGTCTTTCTGTGGCCTGTGACTCTTGAGAAATCCTGATTTCTTTTTCCCTCTTCTTTAGCCGAGGAGAAGAAAGAGGAGGAAAAGAAAGAAGAATCAGAGGAATCTGATGATGACATGGGCTTTGGTCTTTTTGACTAATTAGTTTTGTACCTGTCTGTAATAAAGAACATGTAACTCCACTCTTGTCTCCGATGTGGATGTGTGGGCAGGTTACCTGCAGGTGCCAGAGCCGCTGTCATCGCAGGGTTTTGCAGCTCTCCTTGTTGCTGCTTTATCCCTGATACAGGCACAAAGGTGGCAATGTAACCACAGCAGCTTGGCAGGTACAGGATGTGACATTTAGCAGAAGTGCTGAGGTTTGGTGCTGCAGCCTCTGGGTGAAGCTGCAGTGTCTGGTTAATGCTTTAGTAACAGCACAGCTCCTGCCCTGGGCAGTTTGTGGTACCAGCTCCTTTTTAACCTGGTCAGGGGCAGCTCAAGGCTGTGGCACACAGGGATTGTGTGCGTTTCACACAGTTGTGGAGCTGAAGAGAGGAAAAGAAGCTGAAATTGTCAAGTGAAGGCCCTTAGAGGAGGCCAAACCTGGGAGGGTTTGTTCATGAGCAGGCGTTTAATTGGATTGAGCCTTGCACTGCTGAGGCATGGAGCCTGGGCTGTGTAAGGTGGGTGCTTTTTTTGCCTTTCCAGAAAAATAGCTAGAAAAACTTTCTGAAAACCAGTCTAAAACCTGGTTTGAAGGGTGGGAGTGGAAGACTGGGAAAGTTTACTTATGAAGAGAGTAACTTAAAAGTGTGTTTCTAAAGTAACTTTTGCACAGGGCTTTTCCAGATCAACTGAGGGCAAGGGCTGTCTTTCTAATGCATGTTGTAAGATGCTAAAATGATGCATTAGTGTAGTGTTCACGTGTGTTAGGACTCCAGAGTTGTGTAGGAGGGTGGTTGTACATCTGGACCAACACTGGAAGCACCCTGCACTGCCCTACCTTCCTCTAAAGCTGCAGCTCTTCCAGTTCTTGAAAGATGCAGGCATCCAGGGAGGAATTTGGGTCCTGCAGCCCCCTGCTGAGTTTCCAGAATTCCTGCAGACAGCCATACACATTTGTTCAGACTTAAAAAATCAGCTTTTCCAGGGGAAAGTGGAGTGACCCCAACTAATTCCAAACAAGTAACTTCAGCAGATGACGATGCGCTCTGACTTCCTGTGTGCTGCAGTTTGAGGGAAAAACACTTTGAAGACTTGTTAAATCTTGGGTTTCCTCCTTGGGTACCTGCTGGGGCTCCTTTAGTGTTGCCTAAGGGGATTCTCAGCATCTTTGGGAGTGAAGGATAAAAACTCCAAGCAGAGAAATCAGTGGTTTCTTCTGCAGTGCGTGCACACACAAAATACAGCCAGGATGTCACTGGTAACACCTTTTTAATAGGTCAAAGTAACTGTACAGTTCATTATATTCTTCCTGAGAATAATTTATATCCCTCAACAGCAAAAAGGGAGTGTGGTTTTTATTTTAACAGAACAGATGGCGTAACTGGAAAACCAAGGAAAATCTAATTACACTGCTCTACTGCGACTCCTCCCAGGCAAGATAGACAAAAGGATGGGTTAGTTAACTACAGCGGGTTTAAAATATTCAACATGGCTTTAATCTGTCTTTATAAATTATATAAAAATGGGGGGGACATGAATGGTTACAGAACTCCTCTAAATGCAGCTCTGAATTGCTCTGGTACAAAGCAGCATTTTCACTTCCAAGGAAAACAACGTTGCTACAAAAGAACTGGCACGTTATTCTGGTGCAAAAACTGAGAGTTTTGTGTCCTACAGCTACTTCCAAACGAAGGCTCCACACAGTCACGGAAAAGTAAAAGGCAGGAAGATGAAGAGGGCTTTAGTTTTTGTCTTGAAATGACCGAAGTCTTGAAAATATAGCTTTTTAATTCTTTCTCTGTAAATTGTGATTAGCATATTGCGACGTAAGTGTTCTAATACAAAAAAATTCCAGTCTGGATAGTTCATATACTGTGGGCAAGAATTCTCAGCCCTGAGGTTTCCCCGAATTCTTCACTTCACAATATCGTTCTCCCATCCGCGGCTCCCAGACCGGAGCCCCGCGGCGGCTGCAGGCAGGCGCGTCCCGTGCGATGAATTGCGCTCCGCGGCCGCCGTCTCCCGAGGATTCCTGTACAAACTTCATCGTGTGATAGATAATGCCACTTGATTTTGTTTTTGAATCCCAGACCAGCTTGGCTTTATGGTAAAAACTCGGTTATTGGTAATGAGAGAGAACCAGCAGCGGTCGGTCAGCTCTGCTGAAGCAAGAGGTGCTGGAAAGCCAGGACTACACTGGGTTAATCCTCACTGCTGGTGGAAGGTGAAACAACATCCTTTCCGAGCAGAATTCTTACAACAGGGATGAAACCCAACTCCTCCCTTAGTGCGGCCTGGACTGACTGATGTTTTTCAGCCTGGCTTGGTCAATAACATCCAGCAGATTTTTGGCGTCCACAGCCAGCGCGTGAGCAGCCGTCAGCATCTGCTTCTTGTACTCCTGCTGCAGGCTGGTCATGACGTACTGCTGCGCCAGCTTCATCTTGTTGATGAGCTCCGCCAGGTCTGAGTTCAGCAGCTTCTGGGCCATCTCGATCTGCAACGAGGAGAGTCAGTCAACTCTCGGTCCTTAAAAGCACAGCGCTCGTGAGGCAGCGATGCTACAGAGCAACGGCACTGCCCACCCAACCTCAGTTGTCCCTGTGTGAGGTGTCTGATTGAAGCAGAGCCATTTTGGGGTGTACTGCGTGCAGCAGATGGGATTTTGGCACCTGCTGCTCTGTGCTGTGTGGAGACCAAGGGCAGCCTCCTCAGCTGCTGAGCCTTTGAACAGCACCGAGACCCAAATCTCTGCTAATGAATTTTAACCCACAGCTAAGAGTTAATACCTTTTCCTAGGTTTCCAGGTTCCTATTATTACTATTACTAAAGTAGCTTTAAAAACTAAATCAGGTCCTGAAGGCAGGTACAGGTTACTTGGCAGAACCACACAGCTCAAGTTAGGATGACTCCCGAGGATGGCCCAGAACCATTCTCTGGCTTTCTCATGTTCAATGTTTTGGAGGAAAGCAGTTTTACTCCTGAACTGCACTGAAAGATCTCAGTCACTTCTCATCCAGAGCTGCATTATTACGGGATATCTCATCAAAACCTTCCAGCTGCATCAAGCTATGCTCAATTACCTGTCTAATGACTGTGTGCAAGCTGTAGTTTAATGAGATTAAACTTGCACTAAGAATTAACTCCCAGATGATCTCCACTGGTTTTGTGCAAGGACTGCTAACTGGTTTTATGTCAGCTTCCTATGGGCACATGTTTTTATACAATCACAGAATAATTCAGGTTGGAAGGGACCTTAAAGCTCCCCCAGTCCAACCCCTGCCATGGGCAGGGACACCTCCCACCAGCCCAGGTTTCTCCAAGCCCCGTCCAACCTGGCCTTGAACACTGCCAGGGAGGGGGCATCCACAGCTTCCCTGGGCAACCTGTGCCAGTGTCTCACCACCCTCACAGGAAATAATTTCTTCCTAATATCGAGTCTAAATCTACACCCTTCCTATTTAAACCCCAAATCACTAAATGCCCTTGTAAAAAGTCCCTCCCCAGCTTTCCTGTAGGACCCCTTCAGGTACTGAAAGGCTGCAATAAGGTTTCCCTGGAGCCTTCTCTTCTTCAAGCTGAACAGCCCCAACTCTCTCAGTTGGTCCTCACAGGAGAGATGCTTCAGCCCCTGATCATCTTTGTGGCCTCCTCTGGTCTGGCTCCAACAGCTCCATGTCCTTCTTATACTGAGGGCCCCAGAACTGGACACAGCACTGCAGGTGGGGCCTGACCAGATCAGAGCAAAGGGCCAGAATCACCCCCCTCGCCCTGCTGGCCACACTTCTTGTGATGCAGCCCAGGATGTGGTTGTTTTATCTATAACTGCATTTCATGAGTTCACACTGCTTAGTGAACCAAAACACATACATGTGCAAAGAAGAGAGACCCAAACCATGCCCAGGCTTGTCCTGGCTGAGGGTGACTCGAAGTGCAATGACTGAGCACCGGGTGAGGGGAGCTCCACGTACCTCTCTGTGCGTGCTTGCAGGAAGGACGGGGAGGGTCTCATCTACTGTTGCCAGCAATGTTCTTAGTGCCAAACCAACCTCCTAAAAGAAAAAAATTAAGGAAATAAACTTTAAAAACTTGGAACAAATGGATGAGAGAATTGTAGGAGCGCAGGAAGCAACAGACAGATGCCCTTAAATCCTCATCTGGATAAGAAAGGGAATCAGAACACGGCTGAGACATTTAAAATCCCACTTGCAATTCTGTGTTTCACCATCAAAGCAACATGCCAAAGTGTTAATTAAAAAAAAAAAGAGAAACCAAACCACTGATTTTAGGCATTGCCTCCGTACCTTGACCATGGGCACGTACTCCTCGGGTGGAGCTGGCTGTATTTTACTGGACATTTCGATGACGGCTTTCACCAGCCCCGTTACATTCTCATAGACCTTGTCGTTGGAGCGGTCCAGGTTGGCCGTAGGAGGGGGGCTGATTTCCTGCGGCTGGATCTGCAAGCAGAGAAGGGTGGTTTCACCTCCTGTCCCCAGCAGATGGGGCTCAGCAGCTTCCCAACCTCCGCGGAGCGTCGGAAGGTGCTGGAAAGCCTCCAATTCCCAACAGCCCCAACCCTGTCCCACCACGTCCCCTTCTCCTGGCTGCGCACGATTGCTCCCAGATCTGAAGGACGTCCCTTTAGTTCTGACTGAACCTGCTCTGGGAAATGGGAATTTTTACCAGGATTTCCCTGAAGACCTCCCAGAATAACTCCCACAACAGAAACTATCTGGGGAATGAGGAGCACAGAGCGCTTGACACGTCTGAGTGGTTCACTACTGACGGATGAGGTCCACTGCTAAGGCAATGGGTATCACTGCTGAAAGTTGTTTTGTGCTCCCAAACAGTATCAGAGTACGTAGTTCATGTACTGAGACAGCAAAGAGAGAATATTGCAGCACATGTTATTGTTTTGTTAGTGAAAATTCACATGAGGTTGACAGAAATGGGGTCACCAGTACAGGTGGGAAACACCAAATGTTTTCATAGTTTGTTTCCAATAAATAAATAAAAAAATAACCCCAATAGGTTACACATCCTGTAGTGCTTACTCATGCAAAACTTCCACAGAGTCAGATCTGTCTGGAGTTAAATCCAAGACAGACCAAAATAATCCTGGGTCAGGAAAGAAACAAACTTTGCAGGCTTCCTCTGCGAGGTCCTCAGCATCGCTGCTCCTCAGCTGTAATTCTACAAACACCCCAGTTCCCTCCAAAACTTCACTGCTATGGGAGGCCCAAGCAACCACTCAGTGGGAGCAGAAGGTTAAAAAATGGCTTATTTCTCACTGGTGACACAGTGACTGATCTGAGAGGGCCCTTGGCATTTCAGCCCATCACACCTGGGTTACTACTGGTTCTTACAACCGGTCTTAGCTACAGAGATGTTTCACTGGAAGCACCTGAGATACTGCCCCGAGGAAACTATAAAATACTTGGATGAAACCTCGTCTAAGGAAGGAGTGCAGGATTTGGCGCATGGTGATTCATTCTGGTGCATTTCATTAAGTGGGTACCGACAGCTACTACAGAGATTCAATCTAAAGCACTGATCAGGAAGGATTTTAGGAAAAAGAGCATTGGCACTGCCCCAATCACCAGTGAAAAGCTGTGATTCTGATGGGTTTCAGCAATCGAGAAGTTAAAGAGTCATCATGCAAAGACATTTTGGACTAGGGCACGGACACACACGCTCACGCACTGCTTACCCTCCATGGCTATGGTTGAGCAGAATGTGGGGGAAGGTTAAAGAAATTTACCAAAAGAAGGGAAAAAAGAAAAAAACAATATTAATAAAACTCAGCAGG